GGCTTGAAATATGGAATGCACGTGTGCAGTCATGTGCGTTTGCATTTGTTGGCGGGAAGTAGCCCCAGATCAACCCTGCACATGACTTCCTTTCAAGGTCTCTTGTGTAATATGTTTGCAATGTGGAACCGGAGACAATATCATGCTGTATTTTTTTAATTAAAAATTCTTCTGAAATCGGGATAAAAATGACATGTATATAAAGAAGGAATAAGAGTACCACGGCCAACCATTTGTAAGAGCATCACATTATTATTATAATATGTTTTGTTTTTAAGAAATCTACAAGACATTCTGACCCCCCCCTCTAACTATCACCCTATTTGTCTCCTGCCGCTACTCGGTAAAGAATTCAAAGCCTTAATCAATGCTGACGTGGTTAAGCATCTTACTCCTCACGACCTAATCTCTGACAAACAATATGGCTTCCGTTGTGTCAGGTCTACCGCTGAATATGTATATCAAGCACTTGATAATAACATCGAGGCTCGAGTGTTCGACAGAGTTTGTCACACTGGTCTTCTACGTAAGTTCCAGGGCTACGGTATTACTGGCCGTGTGTTTGATTTAATTCAATCGTTCCTACCAAATCGCGTAATGAAAGTCGTTTTGAACAAGTTCGCTTCCAGATCCTTTCACACAAACGCAGGTTTCTCCCAAGGTTCTATCCTGGTTCCTACGCTGTTTCTGATCTTCATCAATGATCTCCCTGATGTCACCAGTTCCCAAGTAGGCATTTATGCTGATTACACTACCATTTACCCCCGAGAAATTACATTCCATGTCCTTGCTCCACTGATAACAGCAATCTTCAAAACTTTTAAATGCAACGTTAATCGCCATCTTCTATCTTCTTGAACTTCGTTCATTTTTTTATCCTCTCCTTGGTCCCCTGTACACCCAGTCCTTTATTTTTTTTTCTTCACTCTCTGTAACTCGCTGCGTACTAGTGGCCTTCTCACCTTGCTTTGGGTGAAAAGATTTTTTTTTTTTAAATTATTATTATTATCATTGCTACTATTATTATTATTATTATTATTATTATTATTATACGTTTTTATTATACCATTGAAAATTATCATTAAATTATCATTATGACATTTGAATATTGTTTCTATTATTAGTATTATGGTCATCGATATTATTATTATTATTATTATTTTAGTATACTATTCTTATTATATTTTCATTTATTATTATTCTTTTTTTCTTATTCTTATATCATCATTACATTTCGATTTCTGCTATAGTCACACTACTTTCCAAGTCTGCAAGAAGATCTAAGGCAGGTAGTGTTGTTATGGCGACATTTTATGATTTGTTTTTTCTGACTCCAATAATATCACTAGCGTTACATGAACAAAGTCCTTCTTCGTGTGTGGGCTGGACTTATCAAGACAATTTGTATGTTTCTCTTAAGCTGGGATTTTCAGGTTTTTTTTCAATGTGTTCGTGGGTTCCTTTTTTATCATTCCAAGCGCACTTTCTATGACGAGTACTCTTCTTTTTTCAGTTTCCACATTTTTTTCTATTTTGAAATGCAGGTCTTTATATATTTTTTTTTTTTTTGATTTTTGGCGTTTACACATTTCTTTCCGGGTCGCGCCCAGGGACCTAAGGTTAGAAATGGCGTCATGACACTTTCCACTGAAAAAAAAAAAAAATTAAATTACATAGATAAAGCCCTTCGTAAGGTGTGGGCTGTACTTATTATTATTATTATTATTATTATTATTATTATTATTACGTTAATATTACATTATTCTTATAATTAAATTTATTACATTATTAGAATATTTTTGTTTCTCACATTATTTTTATCATTTCAAAGAGAACCACCGCTAATCATTTGTTACAAAAAAAACAAAACTGAAAATGCTACCTTAACAACAATAACTGAAAAATAATTCTTTGATTAATATATGTGAGAATCCTACCCTGAACCAGTTTAAAGATCAATACTTTTTGTTGTCTTTTCATTATTTTTCTTTATATATTATTTTATCTATATTTTACCCTTGATCTTTTAATTTTGTTAATTATCAATCACGTGTCCGTTCGTAACAGATCATTAGGGAGAGATAATGGGTGATTAAAAAATAAGAAGTTTAGTCATTTTTAGTGCTTGGAAGCGACAATCGGTCTATGTCCTGTAACAGCAATAAACAGCGAACGACTTGACGGATCGACTCATCTACAAGTCGATCAATAAAGACACAATAATCAACAATTTTTTTCTCACGAAAACCCATAAACCTTCTCATCAGGCTGGATTATGATATCTACACACACAGGCACACACACACACACACACTTATATATATACACACACACATATATATATATATATATATATATATATATATATATATATATATATATATAGAGAGAGAGAGAGAGAGAGAGAGAGAAAATAAATAAATAGTTATATGCTTGAAGGACGCTGAAAAGAACTTGGTCCATTCTATAAAAAAAATTGACAATCAGTTGTTTACTGTTTTGATTTCATTTTGATGAACTTTAGAAATGTTCATATATATATATATATATATATGTGTATATATATATATATATATATATATATATATATATATATATATATATATATATATATATATATAGAAATATAGTCTTAAGGTGTGCTATATTTATGGGATAAAGTGCTCGATATCAGAGATAGAGCGTGTGTAAATATAAAAGTGAACATAGAAGCCAACACTTAGAGCCGACAGTCTGTTTCATGCTATATGCAATCGTCAGGCCACGTGTGCTGTTATTTTTCTTGGCTATTTATACATATACGGGTCAGTGGTGCATTGTGGGTAGTCTATTTTGGCGGTTATTTTACCGGAATTCGTTTATTTAAAAAATTTGTTTATATCACTTATTTAATAGTTTTGTTTTGGTTTGAGAATTTAATTAAAGCTATTTGTTCCGTTTGGGGGTTGGTTGTTGTAGTTTTATTCTAACTATTATTTTGGCAGAAAACACACACACACATATATATATATATATATATATATATATATATATATATATATATATATATATATATATATATATATGGTCTATCAAAACTACTTTCAGTCATATGTCTGCAAATGCTTTATTTTTTGAGTTAATTTTAAAGAAAGTTTACGGGAGATGGCGCTGTGTTGTTATATATACTAAGTTACATTTGTCATTCGTGTACATTACGTTTGTAGTAGTGAGTTAACTGAGAAGTGTTCCGTTTAACAATGGCCCGATATTCATATCGTGAGCAGGCAGATATTATTTTTACATATGGCCGTGGGAATGCTAATGGCCGTGGGAATGCTAATGGCCGTGGGAATGCTAATGGCCGTGGGAGGCTGCTCCGCTGTATCAGATTGCTTTTCCAGACCGAAGGCAGCCGTGTCATCCAACCTTTGCTGCTAGTCGCATTGCTAAGACAGGATCCGTGGCACCACAAACTATTGATCGAGTAAGATCGAGGAAGACCGAGATCTGCTCGTAAGCCTGACCGCCAAGAACGCATTCTACAGGGTGTCGGCGACGGTCCAGGTATCACCACACATCCCAGAAAGTTGTACACCTCACAATACTGCATGGAGGTCACTTCAAAGCACCTGCTGTATCCGTATATTTTGCAACGTGTTGTTATAGACAAGAAGGAAATACGACAACAGTAGAAATAGATTTACGTGGTTTATTTCAACAGGAACATGTGTGTTTGGGACAGCTACCTTGTGGTAAAGTTCATAAGCCGGTTTCGGATCTAGGTCGATCTCTCATAGTAGTTGACACATGTTGACGGTGGTTGATGCTCTCCTGCAGCTGATCGCTCGGCCTGACCGTCAGATCTGTTCACTGGCCACCTGTTGACTGCCTGTTGAACTTCCGTGTGACCCCTTTTATAGCGATTTTTATGGCTTAACAGGCTCGAGAAATGAAGCGAGTATAATTCGGAGGGAAGAATTTTTATTGGACGAAAAATAGAGCACTTTAAATATTATTTTATTTTTCGACCGGAACACGTGTGTCGGGAACATTTGTAAAGAAAGTTAATGATCATTTTGTAACGGGGCTTTGTCCCGTTCACATCCGGTTCTCGCTCTTGAGTATTTGCCTGTAAATCAGCCCAGATATGTCTTATTTTATTTTATAACAGTGTGCAGGGTCTTTCACCTTCTGATCAACAGCACAGAAGGACTTTTGTCGATCTCTTCAGTCCTGTTTACGGGTGATACAGCATTTGGAAAAGATGGAATAACAAATTTACATAACAAATATTTGCCGGTGGACCGGAATCCACTTGGTACAATACAGGGTAGACACGAGCATCAGGAGCTCTCTACAGGGACTTTATTTCGAACACAGACCTGTTAGAGGATGTACACGTACTAATACAAAGACGCATGTGGTTCATGCATGATGTGGGTCCAGTACATTTTAGTCACATTGTTCGCGTTACACTGACATTAAAGATGGAGAGGGAAAGACAGGTTCCATTGCCTTCACATTTCCCCATCCTTAATCGTTTTGATTTTTACCTGTGGGGTCCACCTAAAAACAATTGGTTTATTCATCTGACATTAATAATGCAAAGACGCTTTATCAGCGTGTCTTGTGGGCCTGCAAATGCATTTGACACCGTTTGGGGGTATTTGAAAAGGTCTGCTAGTCAATGAACCGACGGGTGTATGTGTGTGTAGAAGCAAACGGAGGACATTTTGAATATTTGTTAATGGTTGCTGTGGACAACGATGGCCTGTTTGACATATGTTTATATTGGTAATTTACCTTGTTTTAGCGTCAGGTACATGCTCCACAAAATTTGTAAAAGAATTTTTTGATTGTATCTTGGACTGTACATTTAACAGCGTCTACCATAAACTTAAATTTAATAGCTCAAAAACGAAGGGTTTACGGACATATGTTTTTTATGATTTTTTGTCGTTGTTTTGATGTGCGGAGGAACTCGCCTCCAAAATTTGTAAAAGTATTGTCAATAAATCCTATAGATAGATAGATAGATAGATAGATAGATATTGATACTATTAGTGGTCAATATATAGATAGATAGATAGATAGATAGATAGATAGATATAATATTAGTGGTCAATATATATATATATATATATATATATATATAAATTCCGAAGAGGATAGAATCCAGGCAGAACTCAATGTCCAGGACAGAGTAAGAAGATAATATAAAAGGCTCAAACACTAATATTCCATGGTTATAATTTATTACATTGGAATCGTAATCACGATCCAATTCATCAGAGGTCTATTCCTGATTACGATTCCAATGTAATTATAACCATGGAATATTAGTGTTTGAGCCTTATATATATATATATATATATATATATATATATATTATATATTTGTATTATATTTTGTTAGCTATAAAAAAAACGCAGATAATACAATTTGTAATTAAAAAAATATATTTGAACAAACCGTTATCAGAGGAAAAAATATTCAGTAAAAAAAAGAAAAGTTTAAAGACATCCATGTCGGCCGAAAATAATCAATCAACACCGTTATGCCTACTAAAAAAACAAAACACCGACAGAGTAAATAAAGTAAAAAAAACTTTAAAGTACCCAATACAATAAGTAGAGCAAAATCTATAAAACCTAGTGAGTCAGGACCTATTACCGGATTTTATAAATTTCACTTCATTAACATTTTTTCCGAAGGTCCAAGTATTATTATTACGTAATACAAAATTATAATTTTATTACAGAATATGCGTAAAACTGTAGCAGCATAACTACGGACGATAATAGTTATGTCCCCATTCACATAAATACAGTTGTAAATACTGTATGTTGGTCTGCAATTGGAGATTTGTCTCTAGAAGTGTTGGTTAAACTCTGTGCCTCCGAGCAGAGAGGATTCCCAGACGAGGCTATGTCGAAGGTCAGAGTCTCATCTCGAAAAACAGCTACCTGATCCCGTTTTATACAGGGTCTACGGAGAAATTTTGGCCGAGCCACACATTAAATTCGACTTTGTGCCACATCTGACCGCGTGGATCAGTTTGTAGATATCCTACAGTTAAAGATTCGTCTCCAGCTGTGCTGGTCACAATCTTTGCCTCCGGACGGAGAGTATTCCCAGACGAGGCTATGCCGAAGGGCAGAGATTCGTCTCAGGAAACAGCTACCCGACCCCGTTTTATTCGGGGTCTACGGGGAATATTTGGCCAAACATACGAGCCCGGATACCACATATAAAATTCGTTCTTTTGCCACATCTGACCGAGTGGGGCGGTTGGAAGATATCCTGCAGTTGGAGATTCATTGTGGAATTCACTTGGCTCATTTCCTAGCAGTTGGCTACTACTACTACGCGCCGCTGGCGAATCTTATATGTGTTGTTCTTGTCCTAAGTATTATCGTTCATTTCCAACCTTTATGTAATTATTTCTATTAAATAACCCTCCCTAGTTCACAACGAAATCATAGAAAGTTAATTTTTCGTAAGAAAAACGAATAACAATTTCATTGCAATTCGGACTCGGATATAAACACATCAATAATGTAAAATATTAGCTGGTCTGTTTTAAAACTAAATCAGGGAATCGTTTATCCATTGATTCATATTATATTGTTATATTTCTTTATACAAAACAAACTACATGGCAACTAGAATAACATTCTAATGTTGATTAATTCTGGTGATTTGTCGTCTGCCAATGTAAACTCTCATTTTTAGAACAGACCACGAGTTTTCAATCTTATTAAAATCGAACAAACAAGCCTCCCACTTAATGACACGAATATCCTCTGAATCTTTTCAATTCCTCAAAAAAACATGTTAGTTTTTTTCTCATCACTGTTCAAGTCCTAAATTTTCTAATCACGATAAACGTATTGGACTCTCTGTAACCCTCCTTACTTCGGACTCACTCCCAAATTTAAAAAAAAAATCTCTCTAGAATCTTTCTTAGATATTTATAAGTCTACCATTCGACCATGTTTAGAATATCGCTGCCTCATATGATCCACTGTCCCTGCTATTTATTTAGATATTCTTGATAAAATCTAAAGGAGTATAAACAATATTATTGGTTCTGATCTGGTGTCTCAGTTTCAATCACTTTCCCACCACCATAATATTTTCCTTCGTGTGCCTTTTCTATAAATACTTTAATGGTAATTGTTCAGAGGAGCTCTTCGCTCACTGGCCCCTTTTATTTCTGTCCCCATTTTTCTTTGGTTTAATTCCCTATCCCTCCCTCGTTAGGTGGTCAGTGACGTTAGTTCTCTGGTAGATGCGGAGCACCTTTTCGTTTCTAGTGTGATTTTCGCATTTGTAGTCGTGTCTGAATGAGTGTGTGTTTGTGTGAGTGCTTGGAATGAATGAATGTTTTATATTATTAAAGTCCCGCATTGATTCTGTCCAGTTAACTGATGTTTCTGCCACATTTAGGGATTGGCGGGGAGGTTATTACTAACATTATTTTGTTTAGTTTCTTGGAAATAGTTTTGTACATTTTTGTAAATATTCACTGGGGTTAGATTTTTAAATTTGTTGTTTTATTTCCCTCCTCCCACAGACAATAAATTGTACATATGGGGACTAGTTAGGACTTTCATAGAGACATTGCGGTATTATGGTGGATGTAGTAAGAAAGTTAAGTAAGAATATCTTGCTGTGGTGTGAGGATTATTGCTGTATGTTTGTGTCAGTGTTTGTAGCTAGCTAAGTTTAACGTTAAGACAGAATACAACCGCCCTTTTCCCCTTGCCTTGTGCCACATTTCTGTACATAGCTGAATAAATATCGCTATGGTATCTAGACATTTTTTTTAATTTAAGTGTAGTACTAGGCCGACGTCGAAACCTCATCAATTTACAGTTGAGTTAGTTTGAGGTAGCTGCAAGTTTTATGCCAACATTTTTTCCTCTCGCATTTCTCGCTTATGTGACTCGCTCTCGGCTCCATGATTTCCAGCCAGATTTTAACACAAAACAAGCCAACTCTGTAAAAATGCAAATTCAATATCAATCGCTATCTACTGTCCTCTTGATTACTCTTCCTTTGTTCTCGCTCTTTGTTAATGTTTCTGTTTGTTTTTAATTCTTCCACGACCAGTAAGCCCTTGTGTTTTAGTGGCCTTTTGCTTTCCAGTCAACTTTAATTTTCAAAAATTTAAATGCAATGTCAATCGCTATCTACTGTCCTCCTGATTACTCTTCCTTTGTTCACGGTCCTTGTTAATGTTTCTGTTTGTTTTTAATTCTTCCACGCCCATTAACCTCTTGTGCTTTATAGGCTTTACTGCTTTGCTTGGAGTGAACACAAAATCGCTTATGTGGTTTTGTGAACGAAGACTTATTATCCCACCATGCAGCCTCTTACCCACAGATGCAGCTTCGCAAGCCTATTGATACGCCATCGCTATTTCCATGACATTATTTAATATAACCTCTTTAGATCTTTAGAGCTGGGACACGCAAAGGTAAATCTGACTCATTTCCTCCGAGTTTCTGGTATCAGAGAGTTTTTTTTCCCACAGACACCCACATAGGTGCTTCTTTGGACACAACTCATTTAAAAGTAATCTTCTGTGTTGAGTGGCTTTTAATTTAATTCATCGCCTTACTTTTTATTTTAATTTAATTCATCACTTTACTTCGCTGAATATGATAAATAATGATAGATATCATATAATATCACAAAACGTTTGAATTCTTCTTGAGACATAGTTCCACGCGTGCCTTTAACCATATCAAAGTCTGTTCTGTCACTTAACCCCATCTGGAGCGGATCAGAAAGCAATTATTTCATCACATGTAGTTCCTGCTCGGAATATGAAGTCCTACATTATAGTTGTCTCATCTTGTGAGGACGTTTTCAGTTCCATTATCTTTGTAGCATCCGTCTGGCCTATCAATGAAAAGAACAGCAGAAAGTCGGTTTTCATGTACACTCCGTGTCTTCATTTCATTCTGTTTTCCCTGGGTATGCCTTTTCAAGATCATGCTTTTTTATTGTTTTCTTTACAATACGACATCTAGTGCTTTCCATCATGTCATTGTTGTAACATCAGCTAACAAAATGACGTCACTACAACGTTTCTATTTAAATCATTTAGATCGTTCGAACTTTATTGCCATATCCACGACGTTTCAGCCGTTGTACGCCCCAGCCTTCTTCAGATGATATATGCTGGAATATCGAACCAAAAACTTTATTTAGCCCACGGGGTTAGATTGTTCTAATTCTACGTGCCATGCCCCTTTTCGGATAGGGAATATATCTCAGAATTAGTTAGTAACTCAATATCTTTAGTAACTAAACTCCCTAAATTGTGGCCAGGTTTTAACACAAAATAAGCCACTTTTTTGATGACTCAACCAACGGTTTTATCCAGTTGACTATGTGTTCATCAGTGATTGAATATTGAGGATATCTATACCCAATTTTGTCTGTAAATATTATTTTTGCCAGAGCTCATATTACAATTGCTGTTACTGTTGTTTTTCTTTAGCTCTCTGTATTTAGTCGTTCCCATATTGCATTTCAAGGTGACAGAAACTTTCTAAGGGAATTAACCGTTACTGAGATTTCTAAATAAAAGGCATGGAATAATAATAATAATAATAATAATAATAATAATAATAATAATAAAACAATCAAATCCAACCGCCCAGATATTGTTATTAAAGACCACACCCACCCAGATATTGTTATTAAAGACCACAAACAAAAACGGTGCCTCCTTATTGATATGTCAGTCCCTGCTGACTGCAATGTATCTTTGAAGATATTCAAAAACCTGTCAAAATACAAGGACCTTGAAATAGAAATCTCGAAAATGTGGCATATGGGAACATCAACAATCTCTGTTGTAGTTGGAGCCCTAGGACTGGTTGGGAAAGATTGCAGTAGACTAATTGAAGGGATTCCTGGAAGTCCATGCCTCAAGGAGATACAAAAAATTTTTTTGACAAGTACAGCCCACACTTTACGAAGGGCTTTATCAATGTAATTTTTTTTTTTTTTTTTTTTTTGTCAGTGGAAAGTGTCA